GTGCTTCATTGTCAGTGCCATGGGTGTCTAAGACCGGCAGCTCTAGACTAGCCAGTCCTCTCATGAAATGCTTTCGGCAGGCAGCGTCAATTTTGACGTCAAGGGCAAGGTGCGGTGCGTCATTGTCAGTGCCATGGGTGTCTAAGACCGGCAGCTCTAGACTAGCAAGTCCTCTCATGAAATGCCTGCAGGGGCCCTTCTAGCGTGTGTACTAACATATCAGGATCTTGCGGAGTAGCAGAGAGGTCCCACATGCCCTTTTCACTGGCCCTGCTGGCGGAATCATTAATACCCCGTTGTAAAAATATAATACTATTTAGCTCCGGTGGAGGCCCCAAGTCCCCGTGTTGGGAGTCTACGGGAAAAGCAAGGGGGCTGCATCTCGGACTGAGTGGGACAAGTTTTCCTAAGTTTCAGGGTGGGTCGAACTTTCGGCCCGGTGTAGTAAGCCCCCAAAGCCCCTTAACCCTAAACGACCCTACGCCCTGAACCGTAAGAACCCTTTCGCACTCGTCCCAAGCGATATCTGTTTGCTCGTTTCAAGTGATCTGGCTTTTCTCGCCCCAAGTGATTTCTCACCCGTGGGCTAATTCTCCCTGACCAATTGATGGCAGCCAGTTGCGTTGCTAGTTGCTTCAGCTGATGTTCTTGATAAAGCTTTCTTGTGGCAACACCTCCACGGCATGTGCTGGCCATTGTGCTGAACACTGTCGTGTAGCAGCATTCGGTCGAGACAAGGGTTTCACCTGTGAAAGTTTGGGGCAGGGAGTATGCCCTGCAGGCAGCTGCGTGAGCGTTGTTGGCCAGGATTCTTACTTCAAGGGTGGAGAGCGCAACTGGGAGCTTCCAGATGCTATTGATCACTCTTGGGTACTGCACACACTACAAAGTGAGCGAAATGACAAGTTCGCACACCTCATAGTCTTCGAAGGTTTCAAAGCCTACTATGACGAAGACATTGTCAACGAGTTGGATTTGATTCTGTGGATACGCGTGAATGAAGAGACTTCCAAAAAGCGGCGGATGAGGAACAAGTCTGTTACACCCGAGATATGGACCGACATGTGGCAGCATCATTCTCAGTATGAGAAACACTGGCTGAATACTTTGAAGCGGCATGTCCTTGCAGAGCATGATGCAGGTTGTGCTGCCCCAATCGATCATGAAAAATGCGTTACACTAGACGGCGAAAAGCCTGCAGAAGTAGTGCTGAATCAAGCGATGGATGTCCTGTTCCAGCGTGGCTTCGTGAAGGATATCCCCTCCGCTGAAGCTATTTCCACATCCCAAGCTCTCACGTCGAGGTCAAGGAGCAGGTCACGAGGCCATAAATCGTACAAATCGACCTTGTAGATGGAATTCACTGCTACCAGGCAGCTATAACATATTATGCGCTGTAAGCCATCTTCCATGATTACAGGTCGTCAACCAAGTTCGAGCTCACAACGCTGCGCGAACCCTGTGTGCTGGTTTCAGATTTCGGACGAAGAGGGCGGCGGTGGATACTGTTGTAAGAAGTGCCACTGGCGACATGCCACTTGGCTTGGATCCGTGCTCATAATTCCAAGGCTTGGAGGCTTCAAGTCTTGACCCTTGAGGCCACTAAGCTGTGACTAGGCCTTGTGTTGTGTTTCCTTCCAACACATCAAGTAAAACTCTCCGTGTCTTTCCCAAGAGTGTGTCGAGGGCTCCTGCAGTGTTTAGGAAGGTATCTGCCAGTAGTACCACTAGAAGAAAAACAAATGGCTGCTCTTCCCGACGTCAAGCTCCAAAGCATCTCTTGCAACACCTCCCGGGAATCCAGACTCAGAACCGCCCCGGGCAGGAGACATCTTTCAGACTGTAGACATGCGATTTTGGTCGGAGCTTGACATAGAGCGAAAGCAGGGATCCACGTCACTCTGGGTGTTAGCTTGGGTGCGCGTAGCCAACAGTGTTCTGGGAGAGCGGACCTCTAGACCGAGCCTAACTTAATGACGATCCTGTGTTGGGCAGACTGAAGCTTGGCTTTTTCGTTTGCAATCAGCTTGGCATGAAAGATCAAGAAGCAAGCCTTGGATCGATTGGTGGACGCACTATCTCTCTACTGTTCCAGGTCACTGGCTTCAAGTCCGGTAAAAACCATGACAAGGCCCTCATCGGCTTTCTTCACCCTTCTTCTTGTTTCTTCTGGTTTCTGTTCGCTTCGCAGGCATGCGGGAGGATTGATGCGCACAACGCACCACGGGCGGCCCCCATCCCTCCAGCTGAGCATTACGCGATCACTGAAACAAAGACAGCAGAGCCTTGTCGGCAGGTCAGGATGTGTCAGTCTGATGTAACGAGATGTATCTCAGCACCAACATGTCCTGCATTCTTTCACCCAGAGGCTGACGCAGCAGACGGCAGCACGGGTAGCTGCACCGTCACCAATGGGGACTCTGCAATGGCTGAAGGCTCCGCCAGTTTGGAGGCCCTCTCAGGGGCTGAAATGTCCGTAGGAAGGGTCCAAGGGCTGATTGACGGCTCGTTGGCTTCCAAGGCCAGCCAGACGGCAGATGCAGGAGAGTCGCGTCCATCTCAGCTCACGCAAGCTGAGAACGGTGCGCTGAGTACATATTTCCTGCAGAAAATGGCTTGTGCCAACCCCAACTGCCCTTTCCTTGCAAGCGCTGACTGTTCAGGCGGCGGTTTTTGCTGCAGCAAATGCTACTGGCGGTCTGTAGCTCCAAAGTCATCCAAATCTGCCAAAAGGCACAATGCTGGATGCTCAAAGACCTATGCCGACACATCGGCTGTTCGAGCACCTCCCATTCCACCTCAGGAGGCGCTTGCTGAACAGGCTGACGGGTCTCAGAACACCTTGGACGAGGCAAAGAACGAAGCAGCTCTGCAGCCAGTCTCAGTATCACCTTCCGTTCCCGTTCGGGCTTTTGCAGTGACCCTGGATCCGATGCAGCAGTTGCTGCTGCACATTGAAAGTTCGCAAGATGGCTCGTAGGCACCTCCGTCTTCCCGGTGGTGCCTTGAGACAGATTTCCTCTAGCACAAGGGAAAAGACACGATGCAGCCCGAACCAGCAATGACTTGCGAGGTCCTTTCCGTAATTCCTCCAAAAAAAGCATTGGCCTGTGCTGGAAACCCAGGCTGGCGCTGAAGGCATCATGGGAGATCCTTTGGCACCGGATTCATCGGCAGACCGGCTGGCGCGGAGGGCTTAGCTGTGATTCTAATTGCCCTCAGAGCCTGACAACACGTAGGCGAGTTGTGAACCTGCATCATTTTATCAGGGAGATGGTTGCCAGAGGGAGAACAAGATGCAGGGATGCCTTGCGCTCAGTCCATGAAGCCGAAGCAAAACTCCTTGCTGCACCGATCCTTGCGCGAGGTGGTGACGCCATTGCAGCGGCGACACGTAGGCATGCACACGCAAGCCGCTGCAGTCTGGCGAAAGGGCTAAAGTTGAATGCCTGCCGCCCGCAGGACTTTACGAGGACGCTCTGAAGGCTTCGCCTTCCTTTGGCAGCAACATGAAACATAAACGTTCGGCGCAACAACAGCAATGGCAAAGCGTGTCTTCAAGGAAAAGCTGACAACGTACTGTGTTCTCTTTGGTCCATTGCCAGGCCTTTTTCAGCAGCAACTACTCCGACTGTATGACCTTCGTGCTGCCCTGAATTGCACGCTCCTGGCAATCGCCAGTTGAGGAAGGAAGTAGTGTAGATAATAATCGGATATCATCGGTGTTATCTGTCCCGTAGAGGTTCCACTCCGTTGTTAAACCCAATTCATTAGGAGCGCATAATTGGACCCAAGAAACAGGTAGGGGCCATATTGGGAGCCCAGGGTTAGGATCTTATAGCCTTAAGGGTCCACTTTAGAGGATCCAAGACGGCTTCTTCATGCTGCGATTGCCTTTTGTCTGACCGACTTGTATGTCCCTGGCAAGGACCTCAAATGCTTAAAGGGAAGGCCCGGCGATAATCGCCTCAGGAAGTCAATAACCCTATGTATCTCCAGGGTCCCTAATCCTAATCGAACCCCAGGGCTTTAAACCACGCTTGTGGTTAGTGGAGGAGAAATGACGTTTCTCCGGGGCAGGACATGGCGAACGGCTGGGCATGACGGATTGAACCACATGGAAAGGGCGGCAAGAGCAAATATTGGCTGGAATCCCTGACCCACAGTTCGCAAAGCAAAAAACCCGGCTCCTTCGCAGCACACCTGCAGAGAGCATCTTCCAGCAAACAAGCAAGCAGCTTGGGCAGTATGATTCTCCACTGATCGGTAAGCCTGCAGTCAGTGCACCCAGATGCCACTCCGCTCTGTGGAAACAAGCACCCTTAGCCGGAAGCAACCCCAAGTCCTATCCTTCCCATGAACAACAGAAGGCATCCGTTCATTGGGTCATCCAGCCGCTTTACTGGGACATGTGCTGCATCAATGTGTCAATGCGTCAGAAGTCAGAAGCATCACTAAAAGCAGGGCACTGAACCTTTGGCCTTAGTAGAACGGTTCTTGCAAACACAGGACCGCGAAACATGGTGTTGTGAAGAGCAATGCGGTAGGTAGGGCACGCACTGATGCGCAGAAAAGTCAAGCGCCCTCCAGGTCCTCCCACTCATAGCAACTCGGAGCCTGCCTGACCGCACAGCAGCGATGCGAGAGCGCTGCCTGTGACTGCTGGGGGGATCCTAATGGGTGGGATCCTGCACAGCGGGCTGAGGGGACTCCCTAAGAGTGAGGCGCTCTTTTCAGCAAGGCTTGGTCGCTTCTGCAGAGTGTCCATTCGCCTGAGCCTGTCAGCGATGGCCCTGCTGGGATCCCTCCAATCTCACGCAGAAAGCTTCCAGCACTCCAATCGCAGCTTCAGCTTCGAAACCTTGGCCAACGTTGCGCTGCAGCCGGTGATACGCGCAAAGACCGTGCGCGAGCTCTCACGCAACCGTGTCACGTCACTGCGCAGTCACCTGACAAGACGAGACTCGTCATCAGGATCTTTGAGAGTTTGGGCGGTGGGGCAGGATCGAAGGGCAAATGAATCTCCTAAAGCAAGCTTGCTGCTCTTGAGCCATGTTTCCGGATGTCACATGTCCGCGTGTCGAAAGCACACGAAAGAGAAAAAAACACACCCTTTGGGTTTGAAGGCTCGAGACCATGTTGGCCGGCCTAGGCAGAGACACTCTTGAAAGAGAAAGACGACGGTCCGGCGAAAAGGCTGGCAGAGGCTGCAGGCAGGGCCCTCGATGAAGCTTGGGTTTTCAGATTGTGCGTCTGCTTGGAGATCCAGATAGTATGAGCTGCTTTTGCATTATCATGCGAGCAGGCAGAATGCATTCCCAACGTGCAGATCCTCAAAGACCAACAATGACGACGCTTTAGAGCATTGCGCAGTAGGTTCAGATGCCTGGCAGGGTTGCCAGCCTTTTCGGACATCCTTGCGGAGCAGCAACGGATTGAATTGATTGCAGCAGATCAACTGGTTGAGCAGGTTGCAAACGGCTCAAGAGGCAAAGTCACCCTAAGCTTCAAATCCCATTGTACTCAGAGTAGCCTTAACAACCCGCCTCAGCCTGCAAGAGGAGATCAAGTCACGTTGGAGAGCACATGCCATCCCTGGAGAGAGCATGCGTGTTGAAAGGCTGCAGCTGAGCTTCATACCATTATGATCATTATGATTTATTTTTCGGTGTTGATTGGACGTGCTTTGTGCATATGTTGGCATGCTCGGACAAGGATGAGCATGAATACGTGACGTGCATTGCACGACGTGTGGCGCTGACGAGACAGAGCGCGCAGAAGCCACATAAATGCCTTTTCACCTCATGGCATCGCGGAATAAGACTGCCGTTTATGAAGGGTCGTTTCCACTGAGAGCTACGGGTTGCTACTCGAGTTGAAACATGTTGAAAGCATCCAAAGCCAGTCCCTGCAACAGCAAATGCTCTGTGCTGGGTGCAAGATTGTTTGTAACCGGCTTGGCTGGCAAATCACGGTGGCCTCTCGCACGCCCTCTTAACCCCAACGACTTGTGTGTTGCAACATTTTATAACGTTTTGCTGCGACTGCTGATGACTAATGGTGCTAGATGGAGGCTGAGCTGGGCTCCCAAACGACGGTTTGCATTTTCGGATGCTTGTTGGAAGCATCGGCATATATGCCAGACGGTCCCAGAGGGGAGCGTTACGCGTCTGATTTTCAAGTTCGGCATTGTCTAGGCGACAAGTGGTGGAGCTTCCATGGGCTGCACAAGGCAGCTGTGACTTTGCGGAGGCAATAGTTTCGTGATTCTTGTTGGTATGAAGCTTGGCGTTCTTGTTGCAGATATGCTCATGGCGCTAAGGAGGAGAGCAGCTGTGACAGGTGTTTGCCTTGAAGTCTTTGCCTCATGCGATGGTCGGGGGGACTCTACTGGGGCGCATGTAAATCATGCCAAGTTACACGTCACCGAACGAAAGCTGGAAGTAGTCTGGTTTTCCATTCTGCACGAGCTTCTTGTCTGTTGAGCTGCAGCCTGCGCTAACAGAAAAAGGCCGGGTGCATACAGAAGCAGACATCCTTGCCCCCAACGTGTATGCGCATGACCATGACCTGTGTGGAGACTTTGCCAATCGGCAGAAAATCGAAAATCGGTCTGAGAGAAGGGCTTGAAATGTGCCAGGCCAGACTCCCTTCGACAATGCATGGCAAGGCCAGCCAGCCAGCCTACATTTAACGTTGCATGCGCCGCGTCGCCTCCTCTTTTCACATTCTCCGCCGCAGAGGAAGCTCCACACATCATGATGACGTGACATGAGCTGCTGGACATCGTTCAGCATGATGGCATCGCTGCAGATTTGGGTCAAGCCTTTGTTGTCTGTAGAATCGTCAGCCCGCAGCGTGCAGATGCAAGCACTGATTTTCACTTCCCTGGCAGTGGTACTTGGATGCGTCTCGGCGTAAGACCGTAATACCCTCACAAGAGTTTGATGAACCCGCAACTCGAACGCTTGTTATGCACCCCGCAAATGCTATTGGTTTAAGGTGGAGTTGGCACGAGCTTTTGGTTTCAGAGTGGATCTGCATTCGCAAGCAGCTCAGGTACCAGCGCCTCGCGTGAGACCCCCAGCTGATTGCACGCCTACCGTGAGCTGGCTATCTTGAACTGGACTGGAGGGCCATGACACAACTGTCCCTGTGCGACATGTGAAGGACTTGTAATCGAAGATGTCCAGAGCTTCTTCAGAAGACAATATGCTGAAAATGCTGCTGCACTGACCTTAGCGCTTGTGCGCACCTACTACATCCCTGCTCTGGAAGTTGGTCCAAGGCTGTGAACACTTCCAGCATGGACACGACGCTGAGCCGGAAATCCAAGCAGGTGCCGAACCTCAAATGAGCTGGCTTCAGGTGAGCAGCATTGGCTGTAGAGCAGACCTTTCACTCTTTGAGCTGTCAGGAGAAACACGAGTGCCATGATGTTGTGGCTGGGGCAATGGAGAGGGGGAAGTGGCATTTCGGAGGTAAGAACTGCAAATGCCCGCCAGAGCATGTGGTAGTCACTTAACTGCATTTGGTCTCACTCCAAAATGCTAAGCAGGTAGTGTGTCATTGCTTCAGCGCCTAGGGATTGGCTTGCTTTTTGCCTTGAAAGAAAAACTTGGGTCCCCAAGTAGCGAAATTTTGACCGAGCCCCCCGGGCTCTTGCACTTGACATCGCAGAGCGGTGTGAGCAAAGGCAGGCAAGTCCTGGGAGTGCGGCGATGCGCTCGGGCAGCGACACTTCTCAAGCAAGATGGCGATCTCCTCCTGTGTATGTTGCACGGCTGAACTGGTAAGAAATATGGACTTGCCGGAGAGAGGTCCCAATCAAACTCACGAAGCAGCTGAAGCATATCCAGATGATTAAGGCCTTTACCGGGTTTCCCAGAAAGAAACTGAAGGGACCCGAAGCAAGGTTCCTGCCCCGTACTTTTTTGAGCAGAGGATCTCGTGATGATTCATAAGAGAGGATGTTGCGGGTGACGCCCCAGGCATGCCCACAAGCCCTTGTGAAGACATGGCTGCAGGCGCCCAGAGTGAACCAGGGTTTTCACAGCTGTTCATGAGCGATCTTGGATGTTAGACCAGGCGGGGAAGTGACTGTGTACAGCTGGGAGGTGCAAAGAAGAGAAACTCAGCGTCCAAGAATCCGGATAGGCGGCTGGTCCACTTGCAATGAAAGTCTCGCTGCGCGAGTTCTGCAGAGCATTTGCGTCGCGTGGTCTCAGGATGTTTCAGGTTGTCCGACTTTTGGAAATATCCTGTAAAGAGCTTCCGAAGTGCACCGCAGGCCTTGCAAGTGTGAGAAGATGGATGAGGTCCTGGAGGGCACGGTGACTGGATGGCAGCGTAGTTGTTCTCATGAAGGTAGTGCCGGAAAGCTTCTTAAATGACTTTTTCTTTTCTTTCACTGCCGTTCAAGGCTCGGCAATGCTCAGCGTATTTGGGCGAGCGATATTTTCCAAACACCTTGCCTCCTCAGGCGCATTTCTGCCCTGTCTGTCTAGCATCAGAGATTGTGCCCCCAAGTGTTTCTGGCATTGCATTGCCCTGCATAGAAACGGATGCACGATCAGACCACGTTGCTACAAGATCTTTCCGAAAGTTTGTGTTCGCACACGCTTGCTGGCCACTTACAGGAATGCTCTTGCCGCCCCAATGTCCTGGTGAAGTACAAGTGCGATGAGATTGCGCTCGGTGCTACTGAAGTGGAAAAAGCGGCTAGCCCGAGTTTCCCTGCTTGCTGACGCAAGCAACGGAATTGTGGCCTCTTCAGTGTCTCCCAGCCAAGGATCGGAGAGTCCAGTGCAAGTGTCCGGAAGATCAGTTTCTGAACGGTGAAGACCAGCAGTGCAAAGACTTCCATGGCGCGCACTTCTTCCCGAACAGGCCCTACTGTAACCTTCCACTTCGAAACAGCAGCTTTCCCAGCGAAGGCATTCAAAAGATCTTTGGTTTGCTGTGCAGGTTTGGCTCAGATAATCTATACTTGTTACTAGACAGCATGAGCGGTGAGAAGATACTTAGTGAGCACCCGGGCGTTATGGTGCTCCCCAGAGGGAAGCAGATCCAAAACTCATCTGCGAGCAAGATAATGAAAAGCACACGTTGCTACTTCAACACCAGGCAGCAACTCTCCGGCTTTTTTGACCTTTCCAGGCTCAAGCCGGGCCTCTGCAGCTGCAGCGTAAACGGACGAGGTCCCCACAGCAGCTCCAAAGGCGGCATTGTTTGCAAGCAGACATCCTTAAAGGGGGATATAGGGGTTATCTTTGGGGATAATGGAAAAGAAAATGGAAACTACTATGGTATATTGGGGTTGTATGGGGATAATGGAAAAGAGAATGGAAACTACTATTTAATGGCATTTATGGCATCCACAGATGTGTAGATTGATCGAGAATCCAAGGACTTGGCTTGGGATTAGCTTCGCTTCTCATATTGGCAGCATCGCTCGCCTGGTGACCGCCTGCATGCTGCCGGAAAAAGAGTTTCAGTGCCCGGTGTTGCACGAGACCGCTCTGCAACAGCAAATTTTTCATGCTGTGGTGCTCAATGCCCACTGCCGGACGGACCGCAATCCAGCTGCAGATAGGTGATTAGATGCGTGGGCCTCCAGCCCAGCCCAATCCACTACGTATGAGCAGGCTTTGCTAAACAACGCCAACTCAGGAGCAGGACTTTTCTGTTGCCAGCTTTATCAAGAAGCCGTGTGACCACTAAACAAAGCATGGCAATCCTCTTCTAGAGAGCAGGGATGCCAGCATCAAACCCTGCTCGGGGTGCTCGACCTCGGTCGTGCTGGCTAGATTCCATTTGCATCATCGCCACTCGCATTCTTCCACCAAGTTTCACTCTGTGAGGACGTGGTACATCTGCCAGTGCAGAATGACTGCCCTTCACGGTTGGTTTTCAGGAGTTCAAAGTGAGAACCATGGCAGGAAGAAGCCGGCACAAAGCAAGCAGGAGGCGACGCAGACCTGCATGTGGGCGAGTGACTACTCCTCTGTAGGCCTCGTTGTGCTTTTTTTTGAACACCTGCTGCACAGGTGGAACCGACGCTGGAAGCCACAGTGGTCGTCGGAACGTGACCATGGGGTACAAGCATGCTGTCCGGCCCGTCTTGTTAAGCTGAACAAACAACAACGCATTCTGCGAGACGAGTAGCAGTTAAGCAGGACTACAGGTAATGTTCGCCGAGGCATATTAAGCACACACGCACACTTCGGACTCTCCATAAACAGGGGTAGGCAGAATAACAGACAAACAATTTGTGACTTCCTTGACCTCCTTGAGGATCCAGGAAGGAGTTCTATTCAAGTCCTCACGCACGTCCCATCTACTCGCGTAGCTTCCTTGGACATGGTAGCGAGTAGAGGTCATGTCCACCTGCACTCTGTACACGGGCGGACTGGAATATTCGGAAAATGCAACAGCCCACATGCCCCTAGTTTTTTGGACAGCTTTGAAAACGTGCAACTTCAACGAACTCGCTCAAGGCTACCTTGGATATCAGGAATGTTGCGATTTGTCGTGAATGCCTGAATACCGGCTCAAATTGTTGATCCGCGCTTAGTCCAGCAGGATTTTCATCACACACGCTGACACTGTTTCTGGCTTCTCTGGCTTCGCAGGTACGATGGTGGACTACTTGGCTTTGGATTAGATGATGGAGCTCGGGTCCCAGACAGTCATCAGAAACACCAGAAGGCACGGCTAAGCCTGCAGGAAACTGTGATGCAGCTTTGCTCCATGCCAGCACAATTTTTGTACTCCTCCTCAGACTTACATGCGGCTGCATCCTGCGTCTGTACACCATTTTGGGAAACCCTACAGCGTCGCACAATATGAGTATTTGTAACTTGAGGCTCAGAGATTCGGTTATGCGCCGCATGTGGGCTGCATCAAGACAGTACACTGCAACCAGGACCGGTTGCCAGACTCCTGCCCAGTAAAGATTGTACTCCTTTGAACCTGGAGAGGGAAGTCAGCAGACTGAAGCTTGTGGCTGCTGCCGCAGGGATTGCAAAGGTTTTTGAGCTGTAATAACTAAGTGTGTTTGGTGTTCGTGGCGAGTCGCCACGGGTGACCACAAATGGAGGTGTTGCCAGGAAACTGATCCCTCCAGGATTCCTCCATGCCCCCCAAGACATCGCTTGTGAACAGAATGCCAGGAGGGCAAGCTTGCTTCTGGCGCTACAGACAATGCGGCTTCATGCTCAGATGGTGACAGCCTGTGACAGCCAAAAGCCTGGCAGCGTTCGTCTTTGCAAAGGTCCGTCTCTTCGACCTCTCCAAGAGGGTTGAGCTTGGAGAGCTGCAGGAACATCAGGACAAAACCGTACCCTTGCAATGCACATGCAGACGGCACAGCCCAACAAATGACGCTATCACCATTCCAAAGCACACTGTCATGGCGCTCGCTTGAGGACTCTGTGTCGGCCTTGCAGTTTTGGAAGAACACCCTGGTTACTGCAAGCAGTGACGGGCAGGCACTCTCCTTTTTGAGCACTTTGCAATGCTGTGCAAGTTGGTCGATGCAGGTTTGTGTCTGGCGCGGTGGAGATTTTGAGCAATACCGACAACGTTGATCTAGATCACAGTTCAAGAAAGCTCTTCTTCATGCTTGTCGCGCTTTGCTGTTTTTGAAATTTTGTGGCCTGTGGAGACTATGCCACTATGCTGCACAGCTTTCACGGCTAGCTCTTTGACCTGTCATTTCAGATGTTCAGCACACCAGACAATGATCTGGCCACATGGGAGCACCGGCTGCCAGGCTCCTCCTTAAGTTCCAAGGCCACAAGGCAAGGGCGCATGCTGGCGCTTGCAATCAACAACATGCCTGATCCCAACATGTGCTGGTCTTGACTGGGTTCAGGCTGCAGTTACCAGCCTGGCTGTGATCAACTCAGCTTAAGAGAGAATATGGAAGAAGCGAATGCATCATCGGTGTTCCAACATTAAGGTCCACCCTTCTGGACGCATGATAGCCAGTGCCTTGCCCTGGAGATCTTGCGACTTTCGCAACCATGAGCTGGCACTGCTTTGCATTGCGATGTGAAAGCACGAGGTTTCTTGTGTGGTCCAATGCTTTCCAAAAAGGTTCCAACAGGATCAGAAGTGTTTTGCAGAGCTCTGGCAGATTGCCATGGTGAGTCAGCCGCGAAGAGGTGCTGGTCGAGACAGTCGGATACAGCTTTGGGCTATCGCCTCAGCTGACCTCAGGTTAACACATAGATGTTTTAAGATCCCTTCGTCTTGTCAGGTTTGCTGAGATAATGGGTTGTTCGGCTTCAACCTCCAATCTATCTCACATGTGTTTCAGGACTTGACGCGGGGGACTTCGGCTGCCCACCTCACCTTGCAGGAAAACGCCGAGGCCTGGTGCTCATGCATAGGCAGGCAAGCATTGGATACAAAAGTTCTGTACATATCCGGTTCGCATGAGCATACACTATACTAGAGAGCAGAGGGCAGCCCTGTCATTTTTGCGTTGAGGACCAGCGTCAGTAGATAGGTGCTGCGGTGCTGCGAATTCAAAGAGATGGGCCATGTTTTAAGCCCAGATATGTACTCCAGCATGATGAACAAGATAATATATATGTATTATATTATCTATATATCCATATTTCTCTCTCTGTCTCTCTCTCTCTCTCTCTCTATGTAACCCTAGATAGCCCCTAGCCACGTATAAAGAGTGGCAATTGGCTTGTTTTTGCACCGGAGAGACCTGGTAGGTCCTGGAGTGGTCCCCATGCGGGGAACGGCTTGGAGTTTTGAGTCAGCGGGAGCTGTTAGCCGTGCAGGCGACCTGATTCTTCGGCTGAAGACTCTCTAGCATCTCTCAGCTTCGAACCCGTTGCATGAGTTGGGATGTTGGTGCGAGTCTTCGCGGGTTCATTCAAGGCTGCGTTTCTATCTTTGCTGCAGCCGGTCCTTGTTCAGGTGAAAACGAACGCCACGGCCTCCCTCAAAGATCCCTCTTCAGCTGACAGCTTAGATCGTGCAATGTGTAAGCAAGCTGGGCTCAATTGCTGGCAATGCATAATTCATTCTATTTGCTCGTTGTTCAACTGAATCTACATTTCGTCCACGCGACAGGGCTGACGAATTTAAATTGGCTCGGGCAGCGTGATGAAACAGGCCTCTGTCCGGTTTGACATGGAATTGCTGAGGGTGGCTTTGTACGAATCAATTTTGCCGCGGCCTCAGTTCTAGGGATCGCTATCAGCTTGCATATCCAGCCGTCCCGCATGGCCAGCCAAAATGCAAATGGCACATGCACACCATGCACGCCATGTTGGTATGCATCCAAGCTGGGACCCCCACTGAGAAAAGATCAGGGTTTGTGCGGCCTCGAAAGGGACCCACAGGGGCCCAAAGTACCCACGAATTCCCGTTCTTCCTTTGACCAAGACTTCCATAACATGGTTGTCTTCCGGCCTGCCCGGAACTGAGAGCAGCACAGGGATCCTTACAACAGGGCTGCGTCTCTCTGTCAATGGGACTGGGATGGGGGGGCAGACTTGTGAGAAATGCCCGTGAATAGCGATAGATAATGCACGGAGGCTTGCGCTTGGAGACGCGAAGGGCGAAGTGCGGATCCTGAATCACAGCAGCGACGCATTGACTCAGGCAGTGACTGTAGGTGGTGGTAGTGTGGTAGTAGTAGCAACAATGAGATATCCCCTAAATGGACACTTTGGAGATGGTCTATGCAATAACAGCTTTTTCATCAAGACCATGTGTCAGAACTTCAGCAAGGTCTTCGATGCTAAGACGTACTCATCTCGCTGTGTTACAGGTCGTCTTCTTTTGCGTGCACGCCCGTCCGTCACTTGCAAACTCCCGGTAAAAACTCTCTGTTTCAGCAGCACGGGTGAAGCAAAGGTTCAGGTCCACAGCATCCGCACAGGGGCTTGCTTTTTCCTGGAGCGCTATTCAACCTCCGGGCATGGTTTCCCCCTCCTGCCACCCCCGTCAAAAGTGCAACTCGGAGTGCCCTGAAAGGCATGCGTGCTGCCAAAGGAAGCTGACGCACCTTCAGCCCGGGTCAAATCCCTGGTCGCCTGCGCCCTCCGCTTGCTAGTGGGTATTGCCGGCACAGACTTCTGCAAACAGTAGGTGGTCGAAGTTGAAGGATAGTTTCCGTCAATGGATCCTCTGCGCCAGGGTTGAGCAGCGGCGAAGTGGAGGCCGAACATAAAAGGAAGCGTCGAATGATCAGCTGCAGCGTAGCTGTTTATAGTTATTGAGAGCATCGTCGCATGAGGGTGCTTTGCTGCGCTTGAGCAACTGGAGGTGCTAGCGCGAAGTGCTATTCTATCAGTGGGTTGCACCACGTGCTGAGCGCGCGGGGGAATCAATGTGGCCCAGCTCGTGCATTTACTCGCGCAGGTCTGGGAAACGCCAGACAGGCTTGCAGCAAAGGCCATCATCTTGCTCGCTGCAGTGGTCTTTCATCTGATCCGCGCTCTTGATTAACAAGGGCGCCCCTAGTCAACCCCCCTGCTGAATAATACACGAGACCCACTATTCTAGATATCCAAGAGCCGAAAGGGAAAACTAACTCGAGCTATGTACAACTTGTACAGTTCAGCAGAAGTACGTAGTAAGACCTAGAGTGAGAGCGAGAACGCGAATTAGAGGAGTTGGAGGAAGAAGCAGATTCGCAGATTGATATTACTTCGAGATTATTTGGATGGATTTCAAGTATAGAAAGCAGCGGAAACTAATGACCTTGAAAGCATTTGCTATTATTCTAGGGGCTTCACTAAATCTGAACAAAGATCCTCTCATGCAAGGTCCGTCATGGGTAGCTCAGGAAGCAACGTTCAAAGTTAAAATTCCTAAAAAAGCTTTGTAAGCAAATCAGGTCTCCTTCTCTCGGTTTGAGAGCAGCCAAGTGATTAAGCAAAACCTTACTCATTTGAGCCATAGTCTAAACTCCTTAAAGGGGGTTATATAGGGATTATATAGGGACTACTATAGGGGATATTAAGGGGGATACTAGGAGTTTAGACAATGGCTCATTTAGGGTTGGAGGTTTCAAGATTTAAGCTTCAGCTTTCAGAGCCTCAGGATTTCCAACTAGACCCGAAGCCTGTTAAATCAATCTCCTGCTTAAGAAAATCCTTCCTTATTTTCTAGGGTCTGGAAATACACTTCTTTAGATCTGGAGTTGTTGTCGGGCCCAAAACTGCCTCAGCCTTTGCAGTGCTCTTGGACCCCTAATTTGGCCGACAAAAATTCGTTCAATCTTGGATTTCATTAATCGAGAGCTCAGATTCATAAGACTTGTAGATCTGATGCTCGTCGCTATTGAAGAACCATACGCTCACATGGCACGCGCGTCTCCTGCGACGTCTAGGCAACGCCGGTGGCCGAGGACTTCAAGAAGCTGCGCGTAGTCGAGACAAAGACCACCCCTCAGCCTGAGCTGGTGATGCACTTGGCCAGAGAAGACTTCCCTGGATGCCCTCCAAGGAGCCGGCTGACGTGCCTGGCCGTCTGGGATCCTCAGGCCAAGACGCTCCCATCTGCGTGACCCATTCGTAACAGTACTTATCTTGATGGTTGAAGCTTGAGGAACACCAGTCAGGCAAAGGGCATGCATGATGCCACGTGCCCATCTGTGACACCCAAAAAGGGGATGCCTTCCTGCCAGGCAGCGAGCAACGGTCAAGGCGGCTTCGCTAGCTGGGCAAAGCAGTGCTAATGTCGTCTACCTTGGGAGGCAAGAAGCAGAGGAAAAGCATGACCCGTGGGCGCTCACGGGAACGAAGTTCCTAGCTTTCAGCACCGATGCGGCCGTCTCTTTGTCAGCTCTCGCTCGCATAAACCCTGTTCCCTGTGCAAAGTAGGCAGCTGCGGCAAGGAACTCTGGAACTATGTCAGGATGTGGAATTTCTAAATGAGGTGAGGCAAGAGCAGCTCCAGAGCACAGGATCTGACAGGTGTTGCTAACGGTCGAAGTAAGTGTAGCTAGCACGGATAGCTGTGACTCTTTTAAGAGAGACACAGATGTGTTCTCAGCAAGCTTCGGCAGCAACTTGAAGCGAACAGACAAAATGCGTCCAGCTAGCTCAGCATCAGCTGGGCTTTGCGTACAGCTGTGTTCAGTGTGAGGATTGGCCAAGCCTCTGACTTTTTGGACACGGCAGGCTTCACGAGAGACAGAAGAAGCTGATGTTGGCAGTCAACCTGAAGCGTTGATCTCGCGGCCCTCTGCGAATCAAGAGAAAATGGGAATAGTGCCAGTGTCCAATTGCGAGTCCCTTGCTGTGGTAGATGCAGCCTGAGGCAGCAGGAGCATCCAGCTGCAGTGCCACAACTGTTCGTGGCATTCTTGCTATCTGTCCAAGATAGAAGATTCAAAGCCTGGCACATCCTCCAAAGAAGTTGAGGTGGCGCTGCAGCTGCCTTGGGGGCTAGACGTTCAAGATACCCATGGTCTGCCTAGGCAAAGGAGGCCTACCACGAGCTCTTTGAGTTACAGGTGCCTCTGCAAGCGGCAGGCTACTGCATGTTACCTTGGTGTGGCTCCATAGGAGCGCTCAAAGAAGCTGAAGAAAGTGCGTCCCTGCCTTATGGCATCCTGCAGCTGCATGACTTGGTAGTTTCCCTACATAGGGGGACCCCAATATAGATTCCAAAACATTGTAGTCCTTGTTATTTTGCGTCCCCCCAAAAGGGTACCCCTAATTTACCCCCCCCCCCCACTTAAACAGTGATACAGCTTATACTGGCTTCGAGGCTGATGGCCTCAGCCCTGACCTGCAAGTTCAATGCTAGTCCAGGTGAGGAGCTGGAGCTCCGGAGCAATCTGCGCAAGAAAGGAGTGGCGCTTCAGGCGTTTTCTTTCAGGGTCCAACGAACCGCATTTGTTACTTTTGAATGGCAGGTCGCTGAAGCAACCAAAGCGAAGCCGGCGCAGTACAAGTGGTTGTACGACCGAAAAAGATGAGGAATGAGTGTTTGTCTCGGGGGCAAAGGTTCCCCCGATGGAGCCTCTGGTGAATTGCAATGCAATGGCGCAGGAAGGAGACACCGCTCAAGCATCAGAGCCCATGTGGTTGATAGCTGCACGTGTCAAGCAGAGCACTTACCGACTCTTGCAACAGAACGTGACTCCCTACTTGCAAGCCGCCACTGTCACGCATCGCCCGAAGAGAAAAGATGTCCAGCACCAAGCTGCACCACTTTTTTTTTCCCCGTTACTTCACGTCATTGGAGGCAAGTCCATTCAACCGCATTCTGTGGTTATTCCGCACTTGACTGTCAAGGTGTTATGATTGTTATGCACAGCTTGAAAGCTTTTCCATGCCCATGACTACTGCCAGCAAGCCTTGCAGTTCACGTTTGCCAACTGTTCAGGATTATGGATGGTTCCCACAATGTCTGGATACTGCAAATGAGCAAATACACCCCTGGCTTGCTGCAATGGGGATTCGAGCCGGCCTCCGAAAGGACAACTCGTCAGGAGTCATTGCACAAGACCCAGACATGGAGCTGTGTGGATTATTCTTATTGACTGTTTTGATCAGCTTGTATGCTGCCTTTGGAAGGTCTTGCTGTTCCTCGCTTTGCTGTCCTGTTTGTGGAGTTTTCCGTGCTTCACAGGCCTGCTAGTGCCACAGAACAGATAATCGCTTCCTAGTGAGAACGCCATGGTCCAAGACAAAAACCGTGGAAGGCACTGCGCTGCAAGCAAATGGCAGCAGATCTCAAGCAAGAGCGGGTCTGTCACGTGCTGCTTGCGTGATCGAGCACGACACCTCGAGTTCGCAGGACCGTAGTCGTTCAACTGCAGCATGTTTTTGAACGAGTAGCTATGACCAATGTCTTGCTGCTGCAGTATATTGCACGATCTGGGTCAGCAACACAGGTGCTTTGGGGCAACTACTTGCGTGTACTGCCGGGGTGTGAAGGTGATTGCCTGTAGCTAGCTTGTGGAAATTATCTATTGCTGAATTTGCTGCCGTGCCACTACTAGTTTGGCAGAATGGAATGCTGTGAAGTTGCAGTACTTGATGTCCCGTGCTAGCACCATTGCATTCTGGCATTGCATGTGCTCTGCTACTCGAAGCCTCCTGCAGAAGAGGAACCTCTGCGCAGGCCTCTCAGGAACTCGACGTCGATGACGTGCTGCAGTCCTACCTGGAGGGAGAGCACCAGTCGGAGCCCTGTGCCTCGGCATGACGCCCAAAAGTCAAGTAGGCACTGTACAGCGTGTCTGGTCCTCTCTATGCCACTAGATTGCGCGATAGACTTATTTGGCAGCGCAAGAATTTCTGTCTATCATCGCAGCTTCGGTAGACCTCAAGCTTTGCCTGAGGCCACGAATTTGAGGCCCAGATTTGGTGGAAAGAGAGTCTGGAGGAGTTCTTCGCCAATAACAACGTGCAGCAAACCGTCAACCTTGAGAACAGGCAAGGCAAGGGCTTATTCTGCACATGTTTCGCTTCGTGCGCCAAATTTTGGAGATTCTAGCGAGAAGCTAAAGCCCGCCAGGAAAAGTCCACTCCTGTCGAAGAGCACCGTCATGCTTGAAGTGCTGCTCAGCCGTTGTGGGCTTTATTCAAAAAGTGTGGAACCTGCCCCCCGTCCCAGGAGCTTTAGGTTGAGTAAGCGGTGTTTGCAGATTCATGTTACAACTCTTGTCGATGACAGTGTTTCCTGGATCAAGAGGAGAGGCGGACACCGGCGCGAGAGGCCGCCTGAGCGGCGGCCCGGGGGCAGAAGAGGGGTCCCGAAAAGGCCTGGGCTTCAGGAGCAATGCAGTTGACTTTACTCAAACGGTCTGGTGCCTGGAGCCGGCCACGCCAGAGATGTTGAGAGCTGTGGACCGGCTGACGACGTCGTAGTAGTCGTCAACACAGAAGTAGTAGCAACAGCAGTTGTTGTTGCCGTCGCCGTCGTGGTCGTCGTGAGCACTAGTAGGAGAAGGAGGGGGTTCAGGTAATTGTTCAGTCAGCTTCGTTCCTGGTATGCGCTGGACTTAGCTTGTATCTGAAAAGGTTTACAAACAGCCCACAAGCTTACGGTTTCAGATTGGACTGGGCCACTTCCCCATGTGGCAGGTGGGAAGCGGAGGAGCTGCTGGAACGAGAGGAGTTCCGCGCGCTTGTCAACTTCCAGGCTCCGCCCGGAAGCAACCCTGACGACAGTTTGAGGGACGTGACTCTCTTGCCATTTCTGCGCTCCTCAGATAGAGAAGCTCGAACAGCTGAACAAGTTCCTCCCAGCAGATATTCTCATCCAGAACTTTGAGATCGGAAACTCTCTGCAGAGAATGGGGATGGTGCCTGAAGGCCGCAGCTCTTTGAAGCCATCAAACATGGGACGTTGGCCTTGGCAGGACCGCAGATGGCCAATACCGCTCTGAACGCCATAGAGAGCGCACTGAAGCCTGAAGTGCTGTTCGCGGGCCCATACGGCTTCTCAGCTATAGATTTGCCTAACATCTTAGCCTCCAGCGCTGGAGGCCGGGCCGCCAGCCTTGCCTCAATCAGCCTACAGAAAGACCAAAAACAGCTTCTCTAATCAAAAGAGCTTTCATCTACAGGCCACGAGCCGATCTTCAGAAGCTGCATCAGTGGCATCCGACAAAGTGGCCTCAGATGTGGACCAAAAGCTCTTCTGAAACTGGTGACATCAATGGTTCCGAGAAAGGATCACTTCAAGCCCGGCTCCCGATGCAACTAGAGCAGAATCCAAGAGTCTGCAGGACAAAATGGAAGCTGAGGAACGCAAAGCACTCAGCTGCAAAACCTTTGGGAGATGCATGCGTTCTGGGTGTGGTTGTCTGGTGCTCATGTCTATGTTCGATCATTTCAACTGCAGGAGAACTCCTGCGCGACACACTCCGGAGGACCACATATGAGATCGAACACCTTTTCGATTCTGATCAACTGCGGGAGTCTCAGCCAAATCCTGGCCTGACAGGCTGAGTAAGTTAGAGTAGAAAAGAGGTAATTGGAAAACAGCAACTTGGGCAACCAGTGACTGAGCATTTCGAGCCTTTGCAAAGTCAGTCAACCCTTGGAGCCTTGAGGGCCACCATGCTCTACAACAGCGTGCTGCTGGATTTGACACGTCCTCAGCACTAAACATGAGGCTGGTTGGAGAAAGTGCAGCGGTTGAGGAGCCTGCGGCGTCCTTCCTTGCCCTGGGTTTGGGTAGCAGCAAACAACCTCAGGTATGACGAAGAGCTGCTGCAACTGACCACACGGAGGGCGGCCACCAACATCGGCCTGTTCAACAAGCAGGATGGGATTATAGCGGAAGTGGACAACTGGCCAGGCTTCTGGCTAGTAGTACATAGCAGACATAGCAATGTTGTGTGGCTCAGGAGCTTGGCAGGCTAGCCTTCTCTGTGACCAGGCCCCTGGACTGTTATTGAAGCTGTGGGAATCTGCATTGCTTGAATACTTTGACTGTGCTTGATTCTTCTCCCGGTCAGGTCAGATTTCAGGGATCAGAACTTCCTAGGCGCCGGCCCCCAGAGTTACCAATGTCAGACGAACGAGTATGTCGGCTCAGTGCCTGCCATACTTAGATTGAGGATGAGAAAGTTGCATCTTCATTCAGGATCACTCGCACAGGCCACAACCTGGAGGGCTGCCGATATGTCTCGTCCTCAATTGGGCCATTTCTGGTGAGGCATCAGATGTAAGCCCCTGTTTGCCATCAAGACAAGCCTCAGGCCTAAGACAGAGCAAATGAGCATACTGTTCAGACAGCATTTGACCCCCAATGTCAATCTCTAAACCTTACCTGAGCTCCACACAAATAAAGCCCCCTAGATTTAAAGAAATTGCCTTGGGCCATTGCGGGTGCTCCACTTTTAAAGGCAGAGGCAGTTTCTGGGCCAAAAGAAGATAGATTCAAAGAAATTTATTTCCAGACCCTAAACAACAGAAGCAATTATTATGGTTTTAAATTGACTTGAAATAAGATTTCGATTGGCTGACAAACGATTCTACATGGCTCATAGCCTTTACTGTAGCTCGTTTTTCAGGATCTTGAAAGGTTTACGGTTTAGGGAGACTTGGCTGCTCTGAGTATGGGAACAGGAAAGCTGAATCTCGAACCTGATGTGCTTGCTACTGCTTATTATTTGAAAATAGATGCTCGAACGCTGCTTCCTGAGCTACCCCTTACAGGCGCTTGCGTGAGAGTGCTTCTTTTCAATTTATCGCGATATGGAGAATCGGGGGATCTCCAGACGAATGGGCCACAAGCATGATTTGGGGGAGGGGGGGGGGGCGGGTGCTGGGTTTTCCCTTCTTTTTTGCGGAGCTCGGATTAAGGTAATTAATCCCTATACAACCCCAGTGTCCATGTCATTTTCCATTTGCTTGTCCATGTGAGTCTTCATTATTCCAACTGCGCAGGCCCGTAACGCCTTAAGCCTAAACAATCTGGTGCTTCATTACCCAACATACCCCTATGTAAGAACCCGGTTGGACCCTACAATAGCTCCATCTTCTTTTCCATTACCCTGCCCTGCATATCCACCCTAAGCCCGCAACGGCCCTGAACCCTAAATCCAAGTCCGATGGGTTATAGAAAACAGACAAATCCTAAAGCCTTATCCCCCAAGCCCTGTCAATATCTCATTTTGTTGCCTTGCAAAACCAGGCCAGGCAGCGTCCTGAGCAGCATTCTACAGTGTGTGGACCTTAGGACCCATGAGAGGGCGTAGTTTCGTTTTGAACGAGTTGTGTAAGGGCGATGAAGAGAGTATGTCGGAGTTATATCGGGACTATATAGGGCTTGAGGATATTGTAAGCGTTGAATGGAGAATACATCGAAACGAATGTGGAAGCTGAAGTGGTCACTTGCGCTATTATGGGGATTGTATAACAATTTTCCGCTGCACAGGCTTCGGTCATTTCGGATTTGTGGAGAATGAGCTGGCAATCCAAGATGCAGCAGGGCACCTGGACTGGCCCTTGACCTTTCGGACATCGGGTGGCTTGTCCAGATCATGAGTATGAAGGGCGAAGGAAGGGCCATGATTTTGACAAAGGGGCGTGCAGCAGATTTCAGGAAATCGGTGCGTGTTGTCATTTCGTTCGTTCATGGTACACCATGCTGTCTAGATTTGCGCTGAGCGAATGCGATCTGTCGGATCAGGCTGGGCTTGAAGAAGCGCAGCTGAAATTTCTGAAGCACGCCTGCCAGAATCATGCCTCTGACGTCCTTTCAGTTAAGCGGGTAAGGCAAGTCCAGACCTGGCACCAGGATGCACCCGGAAACTGCTGGCGAGAGCGCCGTCCAAGTAGCTGTACTGAAATGGCAGGAAGTAGCAACACAGGCATAACACTACCAACATCTCGCAGCCATGGCAACTGAGAATGAGATTGAACTGGAGTCGCGCAAGCGGCATCTTCTGGAAGACCCTGCTGTGCAGGTGCTTGCCCTTGCAATCTCAGCATTCCATGTCCAAAGGCATCTGCAGTGGAGTGCAGGCTATTCTTGAGGAGGACCGCAAGCGACGTAAACTTCCTTGCGAGGATGCCAGATCGCCATTTCTGGAGGACAGCTCAATGATTTATGCGCAGCAAAGTTGTGTTCTCATTGGCAGTTTGTTGCACTTCATCAAAGACATGCCACATGCATGATATGCTCTACACTCTACTGAAGTGAGATAATTACCCCCAGTAAGAAATCATAACAGGATGAGCCTGCAAGTCACGGCGGCCTGCCGGCCCCTGTACAACGATAAGGATGAAGAATGCGATAAAGGGTGAACCAGAACATGAACTGCAAGCTGAGCAAGTGTGCGTACTTTTGATTGATGTTCTGGCCGCTGAACAATAATGGAACATCATCAAAACGATAATGCTGATTTCACGAAGTCGGGTATGGCAAGCCGTTCTCCCCTTGCTGCTCAGCCTAAGTTCTTTTCAATAGCCTATGACCAATCTGGCTGGTCTTCACTAAGGTTGTCCTTTAGAATGGATTAGGTTCCCATTGCTCGTCATAGAGCGTTCAGCCCTAGCGAGTACTCGAAGCGGCACCTTCTACTTAAGCCCTTTAAAGCGAAACCATACTGTTCTTCTCTACCAGGGATTAGGCTTGGGGTTTTCTTCCTACCGCACGTCTGGTCTGCTGCAATCTCGCGCTCATGTGGTTGCCGCTTACACCCCCACCTTATTGTAGCAAGACTACTGGCAAAATTGCAAGGGGTTGCAAACACACATGAGCACAGGAACAGGTAGGTGCTGGTGCATGTTGATAATACGTAGACACTATGTTGAAGTTCGTGTAAATGCCGACGCAGGCAAGACGACGCAAGGGCGGGCGCAAGGAAGCATATACACTATGGCGTTGATACATGTTTTAAACAGCGCCCATTTCACGTTTGGTATTTGCAGAGGTATGTCACAATATTCTCATATTCAGATAGGGACAGCGGGTACAGCATGGTGCTGCCCAGAACTGAGAGTAGTGGGGCAATGCGCCAGGAGACATTCACGCCGAACTGCCCGGTGCATGGACTGATGCACCTTCCAGCCTTCGTCTCTTCAGCTGCATCAGCTTCAAAGCATGTATTTGTTGCCACACTATGCAGCAAGGGTGCTTTTGCGGGTCCGCCTAGACCATCACTCTGACTCTGGCCATGGCGCACGATAGGTTCGGTTCGAGCCCATAAAGTCTTCAGCGCGTTTTTGAGGTCCAGATGGCGCTGACCCAAAGCAAAGCTAAACATATGCCTTTGAGCAAGCCAACGATTTTGATTTGTTTGCTCATGGTTGATTTGCTTGCTCATGGTGCATCCTATCGCTTGTCGACCTCGACTGCCAGAATCAAAGCTGCCATGGTAAACCCTTTGTGGCCACGGAACGCTGCATTGTAAAAGAACGGCCTCCTTGGGTTCCCAACTACGGAGTGCGAGTGTATTGCGCCATCTAAAACCGCAGAAGGCAGGATTCCAATGCAGATGAAGAGACAAGATGGAGAGAGCTGTCTAAGGCACAGGATGCCCTTCGCTGTACATCAGCCATTTCAGAAAGAGGTAGAAGAGGCTCTACAGAAAGGATACAAAGGACATGTCTGCAGAAATCTGCAGACCTTCGAAGGCCAGAAACAGGGCACAGAGGCCATATCTGGGATTCCAGATGCCTGCTCGTCCCAGTTCTCAGCGATACCCGATTTCAGCAGGACTGCTTTTTCAGGCTGCTTTACAGGTACTTGTGGAACAACAGGGATCCCGTGACATCTGATCTAAGGTGAAAACCATAGTAGACACGCCGCTTTTTCAGCGCATGCGACATATTAAGCAACTTGGCCTTTGTTCACTGGTCTTTCCTGGTGCGAAGCACGATCGCTTTTTTCACAGCATCGGGACGGCTTACCTGGCGTACAATTTGATGAAGGACTTGCGTGCACCTAAACTGTACCTACTCCCGGGAGAACTCATATCGGAATCATTTCAAAGAGTTTCGGGCCTCAAAACCTGGATGGCCGGTACTACTGAGTTATCTCGCGTGGGGCATTGCCCCGGGGGATTAGCCACCCCTACCGCCCTAAGAGGAAGAAGAAGAAGCCTTCATTCAACTTGTTCAGCCCATCGGTGTCATTCTATTCCAATATTAGCAGTGTTCCCCTAAACCCAAAACACTAATAACCCTAAGCCCCAAACCCAAAATAGTGGATATACTACACTGGCTCCGTCTTGCGGACGTTCCGTGCAGGCGGAAAACGGTCGGATAAAAGTAGCTTCCATTTCTCCACTGCTATATATACATATATCCCTGTACCACCCCTAGAGATCCCCTATATAACTCTAAACCCCCCTAAACCCTGGCAGCTGAAGTTTGGGATTTAAGCTTATACAGGGTTATATAGGGGATTTATAGGGTATATAGAGGGATTTATAGGAAGGGAGAAGAACAATGGAGGTCCAAGGACATAGATAATAGGGTTTTACGGCCCAAATACTTTAAAATTAATGGTATTTGGGCCCTAAAGCCTTGTAATTTGGGTCCTATATACCCCTATATACCTACTATTTTGGGGCGTGGGTTTCAGGGTCGCTCTTCAGGATCTCCGCTTCAGCCAACCGGAGCTTGCCATCCTTGACAGGGACGTGGTTTGTGTTGCTGGGTTGCTGTTAAGGAACTTAATTTAAGTTACCATAGTGGTTATATATATAGTCCCCCTTAAGTACATAGAATATCGGGTATATGGGGTTCTTATTATAGTATACCCAAGGCCAGATTCTATCTACTTAAGGAGGACTATATATGGTAATTAAAAGGGTTTCCCCCATATAGTGACTTACATTGAGTTCCTTAACAGCAACGCAGGTTGTGGCAGCTGCGTTGATGCACGACCTCGGACACCCTGCATCAGGGTAGGCTTGCAAATATTTTCTGATTTGTTTTGTCCTTGATTCCTACATAATCCTTGTATGGCGGTACAAGTTTGATTTTTAGAGGGCCCCCAAACCTACCTCAGGCATACAGCCACATGTTTGAGTTGTTCATGGCGTCCCTCGGGCATACCTCCTGGACACACGAACAGGCATCGGGATGCACATTTAAAACCACTTGCTTTGATCAAACAACCTTTTTCAGTAACGCAAAAAGCTCTTCGCTTGAAATACAGACAGAAGGCAAGAGGGTGAAAAAAGGCAGAAGGCATTAACACCAGAATTGGTACACATCGACACAGAAAGCAGGCCGGTAAGAAAAGGCAGAAGGGAGGGAAGCAAGGAGGGATGGAGGAAGAAAGGAAGGAAGGAATGAAGGGAGTAAGAAAGGAAGGAGAAAAAAAGAAGCAAGGAAGGAAGAAAGGAAAGAAGGAAGGAAGGAAGGAAGGAGAAAGGGAGAAGGTGGGAGGGAGGGAAGTGTTTTTTTGTGCGCCCCGACCCATCCACGTTTGCGATAAAAAGCAAGCATCATGTCATCANNCCCAACCCCCCCCCCCCCCTGCTATTCTGTAATGCGTGTCAAGAACTCCCATGAACAATGTGCAAGAAGATAAACACATGACAGCACGTTGGTCTTGAGAGTTTGCAGATCTGTAAAGTCCCAACTTTTAGAGTAGCGTATTCTTGTTTTTTGACTAAGAACTCCGATCCGAAATAATGCCAGCAACATGCGCTGCTGTTGTTTGTTGCCACCGGCTTGGCTTACACCTCAAATCCTAGACAGTACAGCACGCGGTCCTAAGCATCCCTGTCACATCCCAAATAGTAAGAGCAACGAATGGTATCTGATTCTTTGATAAACATGTCCAACCCGAACTGATACCAGCAAGGTACGATCCTGCAGCTTCTTGCCCCTGCTGCTTGCACCTCAAATCCTGGACAGTAAGAGCAAAAGCGGTTCTGGGTATCCCTGTTCTCATCCCAAGTCCCAAATCATAAGAGCAAGATATGATTTGTGATTTTCTGACAAAGAACTCCAAGCCAAAATAGTAGCAGCAAAGTACAAATACCCCTTAATGGGACCAAGGGCTTCCATTTCATTTTCCATGTNNATTTGATTCTCCATTATTGGGAAATTTGTTTTTGAACTGCGCAGGCTTTGATCGAAAGCCGTCAGCACCGGCAACTTTCTACTTGGGTACTACTTCGGGGTTTATACACAATTCTGGTCCATTCTCTTCTATCTAGAACAATGGGTTGTACTCTGGAACAGGGAGGTGTTGTCCGTCCAAACCAGAGAATTCGAAAAGTGAGATTGTCTAGTATGGGTACTGGGGCTGCGCCCCTTCCAACCCCCGCTTTTTTTAAGTCCATGCTTACAGTAAAGAAATCGAGTCATCACCGGACTTGCAGTCGGGGAAGGTTGTGCGGATAATTTCTTGCAAATGGGGGGGCTGCACCCCCCAACCTCACCTGCTTTCGCTGCGACTCTTGACACTGACCAAATTCCAAAAGGATCCAAAGGCCTAAAAGCGACAACAGTCACGAGGATCGCAGCCCCGGCCCCCACAATCCCTTTAACTGTTGACACTTTTCAAACTCCAAAAGCCGAGAGGGTAAGCGACGACAGTTACGAGGATCGCCACCCCGATCCCCACTATCCCTGTGACTGCTCTGCATTTCACAAAGGAGCGTTCTTTCATCGAATAATTTTTTTGATGGCCGACGAACACGCAAAATCGCATACATTTCTCCTTTTTTAGAAATAAGTTTGTTTTTGATCGAGAAAGGTGTTTGTGATGTTCCGAAGCTGTTTTGATCTTTAGGTAAAAGTTGTTTAATCCAAAAAAGTCGTGTTTGGTCGCCTTTCCGCACAGGCATCGCTTATACTGGTTCGGGAAGTCTTGAAGACGGTCAACCTCAATCTCAAAGATGATGTAGAAGGAGACGATGTGGCGTTTATTTGCGAGCTCATTGATCCGCCCAAGAAAGATCTAATCAAGTGCCTTGGCGTGCTCGTGCTTGAATTTTCTGAAGTCGCCAACTTCATACAACCCAGGAATAAACTGCAGTTTTTTACCGCAGAACATGGAATGAGTTTTTGGCAACCAGTTGCCAGCATGTTTTTGTCAGGTTCCTGGACGATTTAGCCCAGACAAAGCTGGACAGCGATACCCTGAACCAGAAATGGTCGTCAATCATGAAGGGCAGAAGGGCGGACAAGGCATGGATGTACGAGATTGTCAGCAACTATCGCACCGGGATCCTTACTCAGCCAAGAGCACACTCTCGATCTCTCAAGCGTTTTTGGCTTCTGCTTGTTGAATATAATATAAGCCTTGCGCTTTTCAAGCCATTACATTCTGAACATTACCCCTCGCCTCCCTAAGCACAGCACTAGGCACAAAGTTCCAACCTACGTTACATTGCTATCCTGAGATCGTCTTCCATGCTGGCTAAATGTAAGGCTGCACAAAAGGCCCCAGTTGCTAAGCTCGTACTGGTAATGAATAGTACTTATAGTAAGAGTACGAATGCTAATATTGATTTTGGGTTGAACGCCTAATTGCTTGAGGGTTGTAGGTTCAGCTTTGGGTTGAAGTCAGGTCCTGCATGCGCATCCCCATCAGCCAACTCCATTAAAGCCACCCAAGTTCATTTCGCTTGGAGTGTCAAGGGTCTGGAGGTCTAGGGTTCAGATGTTTTTGAGGCATGGTTTCAGCACACCTGCTCTGCGCAGCAACAAGCAAACAGTGATGCGAGGACACTCTACTGCCCAGAGCCTCAAATCCTATTCCCGTGTTTCTCCAGCCATGACAGCATGGGTTAGTCACTCGAAAACTACGCCAACAGCTTTCAGTGATGATGCCATGGATTATGATCTTCGCCAACTGAGGATCGATGTTGACAAGATGGACTATTTCAGAAGGGATGCCTACTTTCTTGGGATACAGCGGCAGTTCGATCATGACCGCTATCTCAAGAGCCTGCGGCCCAGCTTTCTTGGCACTTTTGTGCCGATGTTCTGAAGTTCCCATCCAGAACTCTGTATTTCCGTTCCAAGCATACATGATGAGTTGTCTACTTACATATGTGTTGAGAGCATTTTGCCAAGTAAGAAAACGCATCTGTGTGGATTCCTGGAATGCGTCCTCCCCGCGTTTGCGAACGTGCTTTGCGCACTAGGAACATCCGAACTACTGCGCGCGTCACCACGTGGCCAACAGTCTCGGGTTCAACGTGAGCATCCCCAAACAGCAATCGCCTCAAACTCTTAGCCTCAGGGGCATTTCAGGAAGTTATAGAATCAAATGTTGAAGATACATATCAAGCCAGGTACATGCGCAGCTTTGGAAGATGTCCGCCAGTTCACATTTTCGGTACGATTGTACTTGTACGGAATTGTAACGGACCTGGTTTTTTTCGGTAGGGCACACAGCTTTCTCTGCGGGATAAAATGTCCAAGGGTGTACGCATGTTTTTCAAGCCCTGCCGAAGCACGATTTGCACACACATTCCCCAAAGCTAAGTGACTGCCATATTTGCGCAAGTTGAACCTGCCTCAGTGTTGTGTACTGAAACACGTGCGGAAGATACCCCATCATGCGCCCAAAGGGGCGGCTAAGGTCTGCGCGTCATCCGTGACTTCCAGGGGATCACAACCCTGAGCCCTCCGGAAAAGTCCAAAGACGTCCAGATCCCGACTAGCGACTTTTTTGTTTTGGCTTTGGATGGGCCATTTCGATTGAACACCCATTATGAGATCATTTGCCTTAGGCTTCTCGGGACCCAAGGACGACATAAGAGAAAACTTGTGCGAGCTGAGAAAAACACTCCACCGAACTGCCTACCAGCACAAGACCGTCAAAAAGCTGGAGGCTGCATGGCCTCCTTCAAAGTAGTAGGGCGCACGCAGGGTAGGACCTATCGTGAATAGGTAGCGCCCCTTGTTTTGGAAGAGCCCGCCACTCGCCATAAAAGCAGTTTCTGGCGGTTGTGTAGGTGGTATGAGTCATTGTCAATGTAGATATTGATAGATATGAGGTGCAGCTATGAAAGAAGTGATGCTGCACTTGCTTGTTGGGAAGAGGGATGGAACATGTGATATACATTGCTATGTACAATTGCAAACGGAATCTCTGTTAGATGACCTTCCCTTGGCATTGTCAAGCTTGCATTCGGGGGATGCAGCACTTCTCGAAAACGTTCGGAAACTGCGACAGTGAGACATAGTGCTCCAGCTCCATTTAACACAGCCCCTCAGGCGAGTTAAGGCTTTCGCACAATATGGAGCTTTGGCCTCAAGGGGGGAGCTTTCCGGAGCCTGGCATGCGCAGCTTTCCAGATGCTTAACTCAGAGCGCTGTAATCTTGGACAACCGCGAACTTAAGATGTGAAGTCCATGCAGCAGTGACATTGGTGAAAGGATCAACCGCTTGAAGACATGAATTTCGGAGATCTTGTCCAGAACCATGGAGCGTGTTCTTCTGTATGCTGTATGCTGTGACAAGAATGAGCCTGCAACTCGTGATGACAGTTGCTAACTTGGTCGGTAGAAAAACGTATTTCTTTCCATTATCCCTACATAACCCCATTATACTAGATAGTAGTTCCCATTTTCTTTTCCATTATCCCCCATGGCCATTATGGTCGTGCCCGCAGCTTTCATAAACAAACAAAGCTTGATACTTCGTCTGGGCCCCAGCAAGCCCAAAGTAGTAGGCAAGGGGTATGTGGGTTTGGGGTTTATACGGGGTATATAGGGGTTATATTGGGATGATGGAAAGTAAAATGGAGACTACTACATTATGATAGGGCATATATTCATAAGCGCCAGGTCACCCACCCACAAAGCCCTACACCACCCCCTTATCCATTATGGGGGAATGGAGGCGCATATGGTGGACATCCTCAAAGTGTGCGAGAAGACCATCAAGGTGAAAGGAAAGGATGGAACGAGACTTCCTGGTTGTTACTAATGAGGGCCTAGCTTACACAGGGATGATTCTACGGGGATTATGTTCCCATATTCCTCACCAACAACCGGTAAGGAGAATGAGCATCGCTGAAGCAGCCGTTTCTCTCGACCCAGTGGCATATGCCAAACTGACAGACTCTTTTTTTGAGACGAGACTGTTAGAGAACGAAGAGGCGGCGCTTGAATCCGCGTGTGAAAGCTACAAGAAACACTTCATGGACCGCAAGCTCATGCGAAACATCATCATGTGGGAAGTCCCCACGCATCTTGAAGATCCAGGGGTCAAAGACTTGCCGCCGCCGAAAACATTCGTAAAGAAGGTGCTGGAGCTATCAACCAGGCAGACTGTCTCAAAACGCTTTCATCATAAAATGTACCTGCATACGATATTGTAGGTTCCAAGTGCCTGTCCCTGTTGCCGTACCATGCGACCAAGCCCTAGTGTGGTGGTGAAGGCCCCTTACATCTGCCAGGCAAGTGCCAGAAGAAGAGCTGCACTGCGTCCTTTCCAAGTTGCATTATGGCCTGGGCAACGAGGACCCTGTGAAGAAGGTCGTTTTCCACGACAAGGAATTCAAGCCTCGACTCTTCGATGTGGACTATGATGCCAACCCGCTTCGCCGGAAGCTATTCCTTTTTTGGAATCCGGCGTCCGTGGACGACAATCACCTCGAGACGATGGCCAGGCAGATTTTGCCAAACGGAAGTAGCACACTGTACAATCAGTGATTTACAAGAAGAACAGCGTAAAGTGCTAGGATTGTAGGACCAAGAGAGCGTTCAGGCCGTGGTGCCATTGGCTGCGCTGATCTGAAACAAACCCTACTCAACTTGGTCAAAAATTCTTGCTTCACAATTTAACGAGACACAGGCTGAATGCTGCTGCCACCGAGTATTTGGAAAGCTTTCTTCGTGCCGACCCTGTCTCAACGCCTTTCAGATTGCAATTGGTGCGTGAGCACATATGGCTGTGGATAAAAAAATTCTAGGCTTATAACGGGCTGGGGCGGCTATTCCAGGACATAGGCTTGCAACAACATTGCCTGTCTTTCGACGAGCACCTTTGCGACAAAGGTTTTTCGTGAGGCATGCATCTACCAAGCATTCGCTGCCACGACAAAGGAATATGTAACGGGGGGTCGGGGGTCTCGCGACGAACGGGCTTTGATCCTGGAACATCCTGTAGCATGTGTAGCTTCTAGCACGATATGTGAATTCGCAGACCTGCATGAGTCGCGCCCTGTCAGGCCAGCATCGCCGCAAAAGCGCGGTCGACCAAGCCTGTAGGGGCCCAAATGCCTGCAACGGATCAGCAAGCAATCCAGACATGTGTAAGGTCAAGATCTCTCTTGGTACAGAACCTTAAGTTTACATCCTGACTCGAAGGTCTAGCGAAGATGTGCAGGAGCCGACGAGCGAAAGGCCACCAATCGCAGATGCTTCATGTTGGCAAGATGTTTCAGGGAGGCAGCCTGTTTTCCCAGGGAAGTGGCTGACCCCGTGGCTTTGAGCCGGGTAGTGGCGCATAATCAGCCACCTCCGTTTATTCAGATGAACAAGAGCACTGCCTACCCGTCACATCGAGACATGAGTCTGTAAAGGTCCACATTCCCTCCAAGCATCGGAGCACCCGGTTTCATATAAATCCTCATGCCCCTTTAGTTCAGACATCCTTAAGCTTTCCCAGGTCAAGCCACGCCGCAGGCAGAGACTGCTCCGAGCGCAGTCATCATGTCCTGCTGCTCGGCCGGACTTCACCACGGCTTGAACATACCAGATGACAGACTAGTGGCCTCCACCCCGTTGAAGCTAGCTATCACTGCAACATACCTGAAACATGCCGGCAAACTGAAGGGGAGGCTTAGATCCAGTGATTAGGCCGTGCATGCCGACGATGCCGTTTTGCTTGCAAGGCCAACACGGAGCTGTTTGAGCGAAGATCAGTGGCCTGAACCGGCTGGCCTCAGGGTGCTCGAAGCGCTTCTGCTATCCCTATGGTTCCAAGGTCAGCCCTCAAGACATAGCCTTAGGGCATGGAGGTATGCCGCATAAAGAGATGGGGTGCTTGTGTGCAAGACTGGTCCATTAGTTTTTTTCTGTGCAGAGATTACACTTCAGGGCGTGGCCGAGTGAAGGGGCATCGACGGCATGCTGGGGCAAAATGCATGCCGCATGCCGGTTAGGCTTCTAGCCGCGGATCATGGAAGAGGAAAAGAGATTCATCAGTTAGAGCCCAACTAGAGACATCAGGCACAGAAGAAAAGAGAAAACAATCCTCCGTGCTAGGGTTTTTGCTGCACTCAGCAGCGCTGCAGAGTGGAGCTTGAAATTTGCCAGGGGCATCATATGTCAAAATGGAGTAGGTGCACGCCCATTATGATGTGCCAAGACAAATTTCATACGAAGTCTCACCCAGTCCAACATGCACCGTAGAGAGCAAGTACATCGAGCGCCGAAAATCCTCATGGCGTACCACAACAGGAATTCAAGCACTGCTGGCACTAATGAGGATGCGTAACCAGTGCAAAGAGCAGCCCTCAAGCTCATGGCGTGGCTGTTGGTCGATCCATATCTTCAAAGTGTGCCAAGGCAAAGCAGATACAAGTGCTCCTGACGCGTCCCAAAAAAAAGACCATCAGTGCGGCCGCACCGGCCTCAGCATGCAAAATTCATTTTTACATTGTCTGGAATCCTTGCACAGCTTCGGACTCCGCTCAGGCATTGAGTGGTTCCCTCAAGGGCCTCGCCCAGCTGCAGGCAGGCTACGACGTAGATGGCCTGGCTTCGCGTCAAGCATCGTCCTTTCTTGTTCAGTACAAAATGGACGGCGACCTCTTGGAGATGTCTGCATTACGGTTGGTCCAGTATGCTCGCGATATCTCAGGAGCATGTCAGCGATGTTCGAATGACAAGTTGCAGGTAGAGGTCGATGACATGAGTGAATGGAATGTCAGACTGGCGTCAGGACTTCTCCAGAAACAACAGCAGCCAGAGGCAGGCAGCATTGTAAGAGAGCCCACAGAGTTTGCTGAATGCCAGCACGCTTCAAAGCACTTGCGACTCTCTATGTAACAGGGCGTTGGCGTTGAGAAGATCCGTGGGAACATTGAAACCATTAGCCGGGTCCTGAGCTTCGAGGATCAGGAATCTTGGACGTTTGGTGACGCATAGCCTGATGGAAACTCGACATATAACCCCAATATAACCCTTATATAAACACTATATAGCCCCTATAAAACCCCCTACACCTATATAGACCCTAAATTCATCCGTATATAAACTCTTATATAAACCCTATACAACCCCTATAAAGCCCCCTACACAATGTAACCCCTATATAGACCCTATATAAACCCTATTGAACCCCTATATTATCCTTCATTGGGCTCTGCAGGCTCTGCCATCGCAGCCTTGGCCGCGCTTGGGTACAGGACATCCCAAAACATTGGGGTTATATTAGGATAATCCAAAATGAAACGGAAGCTACTATAATGGGGTTACATAGCGTTTAGGGTTTATGCAAGCGGTCACGGAGACACTGCGAACAAGATCCCCGGGCGCAGCAATTACGATTGAATTGCGAGAACCAAAAGAAATCAAAGACAATCACCGATGCCTGTGTCGGCGATTAATCCCTTCCCCCTACTATTAAAACACCCCCTAATTTCAAATAATGAATTCAGGGGCCGAAAATCCAGAAGACTACTGTTAAAAGGGGAAGACGACTTTTAAAGGGGCCACCTCATAATGAATTAGGGGTGGTTTTGGGGTCATTCGGGGGTATAAGAAAAATACGAAGGAATTAGGGATCCCCTTCATGTCCTGGGTTTTGACTGCTTTAAAGGGTTTGATATACAAGAACTGAGTGCAATTTCAATTGATGTTATTACCATTTTTGCCGTATGTAATTAAATGTCATTTGAGTTTCACTTGATGGGATTTCAATTGATTTTCAGTGGAAGTCAATTAAATTTTAACGGCTTGAACTCGAATTTTATTCGATTTCAATTGGTGTTAATAGAACCTTCATTAAATTTCAGTTCATATAAAGAGATCTTACTTCGATTTTAATTGATTTTCAACGGAAATTGAATTAGATTTCAATTGATTTCAAAGTGAAATTTAATTCGATTTCACGTGGACTTTAATAGATTTTTCAATAATTTTCAGCTGATTTTAGAGAGATCTTCATTCGATTTTAATTGATTTTAAAAAGAGTTTGAATTCGCCGAGGCTATCCAACCTCAGTCCCTTCTACTCCCCTTGCAGACCACTTTCCCTGGCAACCCCCCCTCCCCCCCCTCCATACCATTAGAAAAATTCCGCCGCAGCCCTGATCCGGTTCTACGGCTCTCAAAGCTTGCGAACTCCCTCGCTACAGGCTGATGGACTAAACCCCCTCCATGCATGCTGGCAGGCATGCAGCAAACACGTCTGAAGTGAGGCTTGCCTCCGTTACTCCCTCGACCCTAAACCCCACGTGTCAACTACATGCCACGACCTATTCGTGTGCTCTGTGCCTCGCCAGCCGAGGCGAGCACGCGATAGCGTTTGTCATTAGATTTCAATATCTTTTAAACGGAATTTAATTCAGCTTCAATATTTCAATTGGTTTGCAATAGAATTTTCTCGCGATTTCAACTGATTTTTCTAGGATCTTAATTCGATTTTAATTGTAAAAGGGACGCATACCGGGTCAAATTTTCTGCGGCACGCAGCACTGAAAAAGCCAGTGACAAAGTTCTGAAGAATATTATCGACAACTGGAATGCATCCTTTGGGAATCGCAGACAAAGCCATGACAGGTTGCGAGTGGCCAACATGCTGCAGCGCCTTGCAACTTCTGCTTGTAATGGACCTGTCAACTCTTCCCAGTACAGTCTTCACTGCCTGCAAGCAAATTGTAAGCTGTGTTGCAAAATTCGGTCGACTGAAAACCAAGGCTGCGTCGTCTGACTCACTCAACCATGCACTAGGCACACTGGATTCCTGAATTGCCATTTTTGTGGGAGCCTTTCCTGTTTCCATGTGCCCACGTTGACAGGAATGACCCAGCCTGTTGCCTGCGCACAGCACAAATACAGTTCCGCAATACTACATTCAGTAGGATTTGAAGAAGGACCACCAAGAACCTGGGGCATTGCAGCAGTCCTTGAAAATCCAACTGCATCTGCGGGAAGCAGAAAGTGTGATCTCGAAAGCGGACAGCCACTGGTTCCTTTGTTCTCTGCAGGGGCTGCTCGGAAAGTCGTCAACATTCAAGACTGCAAGTGAAAATATTTCCAGCTGTTCGCGTCATGCGATTGTATTCACGCAGTGCCCAAAGAATGTGCTTTCAGCTGGGCCTGAGGCCTCTGAACATTCTCTTGTTTTGCAGCAGCATCCACCACGTCGTTCCAACAGATACACCGTGCCTCCCTGAAAGTACGAACTCTGAATGCATCCCTGTGAGCATCAGCATGCACAACTGTCCACTCATGAGGATGTTTTGCCTGCCATGTGCGCAAAATGGATCGCCGCAATGCTTGTTCTGCATGTCCATCCATACAGTTCAGCCCTGTAATTGTTCTGGGCTCCAGGAACAACACCCTTATCCACAACAGCTACGCTCATCGTGTGATCATCTGCAAGTGACACTGCCCAGGAGCTAAGGCAACGTTCTCCCATGATTTGTAGAGCCGTCTGTGAAGATATGCAGAAGTCCGTCAAAAAGGTCAACAAAGTGCGGT